TTTTTTTTTTTTGCAGAAGGTGCTGGTGGTTTAAGTACGCTGGTCAAGCAAAGCCGCAGTTACTGAGGATTACTAGATTCTCCTTTAATTTTATTTTATTTTTTTTCCCAAAGAAAGAGGCAGTAGTAGAGTAGGATCTCAAGTACCCTTGAGCATGGACACACAAAATGGTTACACCACTAGTGCAAATAAATACTCTCCATCGTGAACGTTCGGTCATGCACAAGGAGGCCACGGCTTTCAGTGTACTACCGGCCTTTCTCTGTTTGATATGATACTTCCAGGCAGAACGTGCCGAGCCCGGTCCGTGAGACAAAAAATTGTCCGGTCGACAAAACACGTTCGGTTGCATGTTTGGTGAAGTCCTCACGTAACTCTTAATCATATCTCACCCCCAGTAAAAGGTAAAAGGGTTTCATTAACTTCCATAACAATAAAAAATTAAAAATTTGAAAAAAAAGGTATGGATTTCAACCATGGGCACCCTAAGTTACGATGCATGGTGGGTGCAGCGCAAAGAAGGGATGCCTTTTTTTGCTCAGGGGTGCGAGCAACAGCACCCAGCACACGATCGTTTGCTGATCGTTTGATGCATTGCTTCCGTTTATTCCACCAGAACATGGGGTGGGACACTTTTTTCTTTTTTCTACAGACTGTTTGGACACCCTGTCCCGAGGCTCCGAAATTTCAGGAGAGGCTCAATCGGATTCTCTACGGACCGTTTGAACGCCCTTGTCCCGAGACTCCGGGATTTTTAGAAGGGGCTCTCAATCGGATTCTCTACGGGCCGTTTGGACGCCCTGCCCAAGGCTCCGGAATTTGAAGGAGAGGCTCAATCGGATTCTCTACGGGCCGTTTGGACGCCCTGTCCCGAGGCTCCGGAATTTTTAGGAGTGGCTCAATCGGATTCTCTACAGGCCGTTTGGACGCACTGTCCCGAGGCTCCCCAGCCACGTTGAGAATCCGATTGAGCCTATCCGAAAAAAATTTGGAGACTTGGGACAGGGCGTCCAACGGGCCCGTAGAAAAAAAAGAAAGTGTCCCATGCCATGGGGTGGCACTAGGAGCAGGCCTGAACAAAAAAGAGAATTCCGACAGGCCCCAGGCGGGCCCTGTCCCCCCGAGTCCCCTAATGTTTAGGAGAGGCTCATTTGGATTCTCCAGATGTACTGGTGGTTTGACTTTTTTTTTTTTTTTTTTTTGACAGAAAGAAGCTTACTGGTGGTTTGACTTCTATGTTCTCTTCGGATGAATCTGACTCCGCCTGTGCTACTAAGTATTTCTTTTTCTTTTTTCTTTTTTTTTTTCTTTTCTTTTTTTTTTTCTTTTCTTTTCTTTTTCTGTTCTTTTTCTTTTTAATTTGGACCATTTCTCTATTTATGCGTGTCATCCTTGCGCAGGGGCCATGCTAATCTTCTCTGTATCGTTCCAATTTTAACGGATGTCTCGAAGGACAGCTATTAAGTATTTCCTCTCGTATATAGTAGTCAATTACACATACTACTTCCCTTGTACACAGTATTTCCTTCCCGCGTCTGACTCCACCTGTGCTATTAAGTATTTCCTCTCGTCTATAGTAGGCAATCACACATACTACTTCCCTTGTACACAGTATTTCCTTCCCGCGTACATAGCACTTCGGACTACTTCCTTCGTGCAATAGCAGAGTAGGTACTACTCCTACATAGTACTTCCTCTGCATCGCCGTGTTTCTTATTTTCTTATACATAGTACTTCCCTTGTACATAGTATTTCCTTTGCGCTATAGTAGACTAGTTACTCCTTGTACATAGCACAACATAGTACTTCCCTTGTCCATATTACTTCCTCTGCAGCCGTGTTTCTTATTTTCTTATACATAGTGCTTCCCTTGTACATAGTATTTTTCTTTGCGCGTTACTCCTTGTACATAGCACAACATAGCACTTCCCTTGTACATAGTATTTTTCTTTGCGCGTTACTCCTTGTACATAGCACAACATAGCACTTCCCTTGTACATAGTATTTCCTTTGCCCTATAGTAGACTAGTTACTACTTGTACATAGCACAACATCATACTTCCCTTGTCCATATTACTTCCAACTTAAAGTGCACTATAGTAGCGTAGCTACTCCTTATACATAGTACTTCCTTTGCATCCGCATGTTTGCGACTTTGAACCCTTTGCTGAGTCTGGCTTTGTGCTAGAGTAGGCACGTATACATAGTATATGCCTCGAACATAGTGTTTCCTTTGTGCTATCGTAGAGCAGGTGCTATTTATGCATAGTACTTCCTTTGCATTACCATGTTCGGGACTTTGAAGCCTTTCGTCCAATTGACGAGTGTGCCGCGGTCGATTGCAATCTGATTCACAGGAAAGGAAAATGTGAAACCGAGATCTAGCAATTTGCCGTCATTGTGCTTCACGCCGCCATCTTCCTTTTCCACAAACTTTGCGACCGCATCCGCTATGAAGTCAAACAAGGCCTGCCACATGTGCACACACAACATGGGGATCGTTAAGATCACACAAACAAACGCACCAAACGAAACCTGACACGTGCACACACAAATTAGAGATCGCACAGATCAGAATCATCAGACAACAAGGACTGTCACGTGCACACCCACAACATCGATATAGGGCCACCTTGCTCCACTGCACAACATTTTAAACATATATGGATGGACACGTAAAGGTCTTATAATACATTCAAAATGTGCGCATAAGTCTGAATGCAGCTGGTCCACAAGATGGCCCAAGTAGTCAAGCAATGCCCATAGTGAAGATCACACAAACGTCAAACAAAGCCTGCCACGTGCGCAGACAGACAAGATAAGTTGCCCCACGTGCTGAGCACTTGAGGAAACGATAAGAGCATCTTCCTGAAGTGGGGCCGCCGGTGTGAAGGCTCCATCGGTCGGTGGGAAGCAGCATCACCACATCCACAAAAGACAGAAAATATGTGTGTGATCCTTTTTTTTTTTAAATGGGGTGAGCACTTGAGGAAGTGTTAACAGCATCTTCCTCAAGTGGGGCCGCCGGTGTGAGGACTGACTCCATCTGTTGGTGGGGAACCGGGCCCGGTGTCCCTTTGTGCATACAACAGCGATTTCATCAAAAAGGACATTTTTACATTTTATGAACGAGATTGAAATCTATCTTTCTTGGGCAAAAATTTGATGAAATTGCGGTTACGGCACTCTGAAGACGCCCTACACCATATATATCTGGACTTCGCTGAAGTCCATATACATCCAAGGGGTCCAACATTTTCTCCCCTGGATGTATGTCCAGATACATCAAGGGGGTAGGGCATTTTCAGAACGCTGTACGCTTAATTTCATGAAATTTTTGCCCAAAAATGAGATTTCAATTCGTTCAAAAAAATATAAAATGTCGGCCATTTTCAGAACGCTGTACCCTCAATTTCATGATTTTTTTGCCCAAAAAATGAGATCTAATTTTGGTTCAAAAACATATTAAATGTCCGTTTTGACGAAATTGCTGCTATACACAAAAGTTGCATGCTTGACCTTTCCAATATTCGTTCAAAAAATATAAAATTCGTTCAAAAAATATAAAATGTCCACAGGACTGCATGTCGGAAGTCTGATGACGCTGACTGTTAGGGTATCGGAGTAGAAAGCAATCCCCCTGCTGTTGAAGGGGCCCAGCCTCTTATCGTGTTCTAGGCGAAGATTTATTCTCTTTTTGGACATGTAATGAGTAGTCTTTCTTTTTCATTCTTTTCTTTTTAAACACCCCCTGCAGTGCTAGTGACTAATTGCAGAGGGGGGGGGGGGGGGGGGGGGGGGGGGGGTTCTTTTTTTTAAACACCCCCTATTTTAAATTCTCCTGCAAGGAATATGAGTGTGAACGATATACAGAAAACCAAGTTGCGAAATCACACAGATGTCCAGGTAGTCATGTCCAAGCAGAGAGTACCAAATGCACGGAGAAACCATCCATATAGAGCAATAAAATGGAGTAATGAGCCAATGTTCAAGCCAGTAGGCCACACCAACACAGTATCCAAAGTCGCGGCTCTCTGTCTGGCGCCCAGCGCCCAGCCTACTCTACCCGACTATCCTCTACCTACAGCTGGTTCACGCAACAGGCTCACTTCGACTCTCGAAGACCAATGCACATAATGTCAACGCCATAGCCGACCTCTCTTCATGCACCAGGTATGTATCTCGCCACCCTCAGTCAGACCTTGATCACCCCACACTCGCCTCCTTCCCTGAAGACCACCCGATCGCCCGTATTACCCTCTGGCGCCCAGCAGCCCGGCTATGGCTGCCTGCGCCCCGCTGCCCTGCAGTGCCCTACTTCACCACTATGCGCCCCGTCAGCGCCCTCGGCAGCAGCGCAGCATCAAGCGATAGCGCAGCAGCACTTCCACATTGCCTACACTGGCCAGAATGCCTGGCCTGGGCTGCCTCACTTCTTTTATGGAAGTGGCATCCTCCTGGATGCTGCGTGTGGCCTGGCTGGAAGCTTCCAGTAGCTTCCGGTTGGGCCTCAGACCCTGCGCCCAGGCCCAAGACTACAGTTGAGGGCCTGGGCCCTTTTCAGTTGGGCACGGCCTGAGTCTCTGGACTTGGGCTGTTTGCTGCATCTGTGCAGGGCTCCCACGTAGGTGAGTCGGCAGTACTCTTTTTCCAAGACCGAGGGCCTACTTCCCAATGTATCGGCCCTGCTTTATGTGTATGTGCCTAGGTGCAACTGTCAAAGCCTGGGCCAACTGTACGACGCAACTTAGTGAGGCTCACACGTCTACCCAACCAACTGGCTCGCTGCGAGAGCCTGAATACCCACATATGGAAATGTCAAATTTTGGCCTTTGACGAATATTCAGGCCCGCCTTCACTTAGGGCAGGCACTCGGCTTGCTGGGGGCCTTAGCCCAGAACATGTGATGTCTGATAGGGCCCCTTGAGGGCTCGTTCCTCACTCTCCTTTGTCTATGACACAAATTGAGAGTCGTCCCCTTGCTAATAGAACAGAGGTAAGCGCAAAAGGCCCTACCCAAGGGAGAGAAGGGGGGGGCGGAGCGCGGGAAGTCAAAAACAAGCCCAATTTTGCTGCCTTCTTCCCAACACTGTGCAGCAGCTGTCCTCCCCCTCAAACTGACAGATGGGGTGTGTGTGTGTGTGTGTGTGTGAGTGTGTGTGTGTGTGTGTGTGTGTGTGTGTGTGTGTGTGTGTGTGTGTGACACTGTGTGTGTGTGAGATGCAGCAACATTGTAACCCCAATTCTTGCCTACCGTGTCTTCTTTGTTGTTGTTCTTCTTTTCTTTTTTTTTTTTCTTTTTTTTTCTTTCTCTCCTTTTTCGTTCTGTTGCTTTTCCCTCAATTTTGATGCCCCAATTTGTGGTGTGATCCCCACAGTGAGGGCATAGTAGCCATACTCACACCAGGACCTTTTTCTATTGAGCTCTGCAGGTGCCAATCTTGGCGTAATTCCGGTCCCATTCATTTTAAAAAGTGCTAGAAGAAAGGGGCTTCAGTCTGCATTCTGCAATCTCAACTCACCCCCTCCACAGCAACCCTCCCCCACCCCCCCCACCCCCAAAACAAAAAACGGGCCCACAACAAAAAAAGAAAACTATGCCCACGGTCACACTGTCTTACCTCCCTTGTGCCGGTCATCAATTCCTGCGGAATGACTGCTTCAGCAGATTTCCAATCCAGCACTCCGCCGTCTTCGCCGCCAAACAGAACTCGGATAACGCGGAAGTTTGTTCCGCCGAGATCCAATGCATAATAGTATCCCTTCTCTTTCCTGACACAAAATATGAGCAAAGGAAAAGTGGGGGCGAGGGGGAAGGGGGGGAGGAGGAAATGGTTGTT